CTCCCAAAGTGCTGGGATTACAGGCGTGAGCCACCGCGCCCGGCCCAGTTTTTGTATTTTTAATAGAGACAGTGTTTCACCATGTTGGCCAGGCTGGTCTTGAACTCCTGACCTGAGGTGACCCGCCCACCTCAGCCTCCCAGAGTGCTGGGATTACAGTGCGCTTGGTCAAGGAAGTAACCTTTGCGATGAGACTCCAAGGAGGTGTGGGAGCAGCTGTAAGAAAAGCTGGAAGAGAGTGGCTCAGGAGAGGGAACAGCAGGTGCGAATGCCCTGAGGCAGGCGGGGGTCAGCTTGCTGGGTGCAGGTCACACAGACTGTACACAGCGTCTTGTGCCACGGTAGGGGTTTGGCTGTTACCTGCAGTGAGGGGGAGCCGCAGAGGTGGTGAGGGTGGGGCCTGGTGAGGATAAGACTGTGGCGGTCCAGGCAGGGCAGCTAGACTGGGCTGGGGCCATGGGTGGTGGGACGCAGATGACATGGTCAAGTCCAACCCCTGGGATGTGCTTAAAATGCATGTGGGTGTGAGAAACACAGAGGGCAGCCTCCAGGGAACCACCCGATAAGGCAGAGGGGCCCCCATGTTATCTGTAGTCATGCTGAAAAAATAGTGTGGCCGGGGCGGGGGCTCACACCTGTAATCCCGGCACTGTCGGAGGCCGAGGTGGGGGGATCACCTGAGGTCAGGAGTTTGAGACCAGCCTGGCCAACATGATGAAACCCCGTCTCAACTAAAGATACAAAAATTACCCAGGCGTGGTGGCGTGTGCCTGCAATCCCAGCTACTCAGGAGACTGAGGCAGGAGAATCACTTGAACCCGGGAGGGGAAGGTTGCAGTGAGCTGAGATCGCACCACCGCACTCCAGTCTGGGTGTCAGAGCGAGACTCCATCTTTTTTTTTTTTTCAAGAGAGTCTTGCTCTGTTGCCAGGCGCCAGTCTGGAGTGCAGTGGCGCGGTCTCAGCTCACTGCATCTTGCCTCCTGGGTTCAAGCAGTTCTCCTGCCTCAGCCTTCCAAGTAGCTGGGACTACAGGTGTGCGCCACCACGCCCAGCTAATTTTTGTATTTTAGTAGAGAGAGGGTTTCACCATGTTGGCCAGGATGGTCTCGATCTCTTGACCTCGTGATCCACCCACCTTGGCCTCCAAAGTGCTGGGATTACAGGCGTGAGCCACTGTGCCCGGCCAAGACTTCATCTTAAAAAAAAAAAAAAAAAAGGCAGGTGCAGTGGCTCACACCTGTAATCCCAGCACTTTGGAGGCTGAGGTGGACGGATAACGAGGTCAAGAGATCGAGACCAGCCTGGCCAATATGGGGAAACCCCATCTCTACTAAAAATACAAAATTAGCCGGGCGTGGTGGCGCACGCCTGTAGTCTCAGGTACTCCGGAGGCTCAGGTACTCGGGAGGCTTGAACCTAGGAGGTGGAGGTTGCAGTGAGCCGAGATCACACCATTGCACTCCAGCCTGGGCAACAAGGGTGAAACCGTGTCTCAAAAAAAACAAAAAAAGAATGGTGGCATGACTGCCAGTGTTAGGCACGTACTGTATGCACTAGCCCATTCAGCTCTATCACTATACACCCATTTTACAGATGAGGCTGAGGAAAGTTAAGGCAGAGGTGACCTGGCACTGCCCCACCCCATGATGCCCACCCCCATGCAGCCCTCAGGCCTGCGGCGCTTTGACCATGGGGCATATGAGGGACCCCTGTCCCAGACTTCCCAGGTAATGAAGCCCCAGCCTCTCCTCTCCAGGACTCAGGGTCAGCACAGTCCTTCAGGGCAGTTCAGAGGGGTAGGTGACAGCAGAGACCTGAGAACTTGGAAGAGGCCTTGGCTTCTGCCCTCTGCCCCTAGTTTCCCCCTCTCTGCCCCGGGTCCCTCCACTCTCTGTACCCAGTTCCCCCTCTCTCTGCCCCTGGGTCCCCTGTCTGTCTTCCCCCAGGTCTTCCCCTCCTCTCTGCTCCTGGGTCTACCCATGCCTGCCACAAAGTCCCTCCTCTCTCTCCCACCAGGTTCCCCCCTCTCTGCCCCCAGATACCCCCTCTCTCTGTCCCGGAATCCCCCTCTCTCTGCCCCTGGCATCCCCTCCCCCTGCCCCTGAGGAGTCCCCCTCTCTCTGCTCCTGAGTCCCCCTCTCTGCCCCTGGCCTCCCTCCCCTCTCTGCCCCTGGCCTCCCTCCCCTCTCTGCCCTGGCCTCCCTCCCCTCTCTGCCCTGGCCTCCCTCCCCTCTCTGCCCCTGGCCTCCCATCTCTCTGCCCCTCCGTGTTCCCTTTCTATGCAGGAGTTGAGGACACGGAACAGGCTCTGATAAGACCCACAGCAAGTGTTTGTTAAATGGATGAGTGATGTTTGGGTTTTGGATGTGGGGAGGGGCGGATGTGGAAAGAGTGAAAAACCTGCTACTGAATTTGGGGGACAGATGAATGGGGACATTTTGAGGGGAGAGGGAGAGAAGGGAACAGTGGGAGCCATCGGGACGTTGGTGGGATCAGAAGGTGGAGGCTGAGGGTAAAAAGACACACCAGTCAGGGATGAGAAGGAGACTCTGGGGGTCCCCGTCACAGGGGACTAGGCCCCGGGATGGGGAACAGCAGGTCCCCAAGCCCCCACCAGCGCACCCCCCAATCCCAACGCGCCCATTAGTGTTGTTAATTGCAGCGGTTCAGTCTGACCCAGGCTGATCCTGGGAGAGGGAAAATGAAGGAATTAGCAAAAATGACAGGGGAAAATTGCGACAATTAGCAGGCAGCATTGTTCCTGCCTGTCACCCGGCTGGTTCCGAGCTCTATCTTGAGGGAGGGGGTCCCCATCACCCCCCCGGCCCCCCAGTAATTGTTCCTGGAGCTCCAGGCGGAGGTGGAGGCAGGGAGGAACAGCCAGGAGGGTGTGGGGTACTCCTGGGAGGAGGAGGCTCAGCGCAGACACTCGGGGGCTGGGGGCGCGGGGGCTGCGTGCCCGTGGGGGAGGGGCGGGGTTTCGCTGCCTGGTGTTTTGATGGTGGGGTAATAACAATCGTAATCACACTATTAATGCCAATCCCGGCTCTGTGCCGAAGCATCTGCTGCTGCCAGGCCCCAGCCAGCCCTTTCTGTCTGTTAAGTGAACTGAATGCGTAACCAGCCTGGGAAGTCACCACTCCTGGCAAACCTGATTGACAGAGTAGGAAACTGAGGCACAGAGAGGCAGAGAGGCTGGTTCCAGGGCACACAGCCAGGGAGGGGCAGCACTGGGGCTTGACAGGAGACCTGTCCCCTCAGCCCCATAGGAAGCAGGCACGTGGGGATCCTCAAGGTCACCGAGCGTGTCCCCTGGCCTCCCGCCCCCAGCACTGGGTCTGGAGCTCCCTCAGGGTTTGCCCTCTGCAGAGCCAGGGTCACCCAGAGGTCCTGGGTTGGGACAGGCTCTGGGACAGCCAGGTTGATGCCTACCCCCAGCACAAGGCTCAGGATCCCAGCTCCTGACTGTAGGGGGGATGGGCAGGGGCACGGCTCTCACTTCGTCTCGGTCTCAGTTGCCATCTCTGTCTCTCTCGACAACCCTTTTCCTGTGTCTCTGCGTCTCTTTATATTTTTGGTATTTTTATTTTATTTTATTTGAAATGTATTTATTTATTTATTTTTTATTTTTTCGAGACGGAGTCTTGCTCTGTCGCCCAGGCTGGAGTGCAGTGGCGCAGTCTCGGCTCACTGCAACCTCTGCCTCCTGGGTTCTTGCAATTCTCCTGCCTCCCCCTCCTGAGTAGTAGCTGGGACTACTGGTGCATGCCACCACACCCGGCTAGTAGAGATGGGGTTTCACAGTATTGCCCAGGCGGGTCTCAAACTCTGAAGCTCAGGCAATTCGCCCGCTTTGGCCTTCCAAAGTGCTGGGATCACAGGCGTGAGCCACTGCGCCCCGCCACTTTCTGTTTTTTTGATGCTAGCCATCCTAGTGGGTGTGGAGTGCTGTCTCGTGGTTTTGATTTTATTTTTCCTAATGACTTAAGATATTGAGCATCTTTTCTTGGGCTTATCGGACTTTCGTGTATCTTCTTTGGAGAAATATTGATTCAAGTCCTTTGCCCATTTAACAAAATATATTTTGGGGGCTGGGTGCGGAGGTTCATGCCTGTAATCCCAGAACTTTGGGAGGCCAAGGTGGGTGGATCACAAGGTCAGGAGTTGGAGACTAGCCTGGCCAATATAGAGAAACCCCGGCTCTACTGAAAACACAAAATTAGCCGGGATCACAAGCATGAGCCACCGTGCCTGGCCCCCTTTTTTTTTTTTTTTTTTTTTTTTGAGACAGAGCCTTGCTCTGTCACCCAGACTGCAGTGCGATGGCCCTAACTCGGCTCGCTGCAACTTCCGCCTCCTGGGTTCAAGCAATTTATCCAGCCTTAGCCTCCTGAGTAGCTGGGATTACAGGCACCTGCCATCATGCCCAGCTAATTTTTGTATTTTTGTAGAGATGGCGTTTCATCATGTTAGCCAGGCTGGTCTCGAACTCTTGACCTCTGGTAATCTGCCCACCTTGGCCTCCCAAAGTTCTGGGATTACAGGCGTGAGCCACCGCGCCCAGCTGTATTTGTTTATTTTTATGGGCTCCCTAAGCAGAGAATGTTAGTTTCTTGCTTGCTGTCCAGTTGCCCCTGGTGTGAGAGCCCAGTGGGGGAGAGGGGTGCTGGACTGTCGGGTCATCGCTGCACCCCCAGCAGTGCCCAGTGCAAGATGCCGGCACAGTAGGTGGTGAGTGAACGGGTGGGTGAATGAATGAATCCCTCTATGACCCCTGCCCCCTAGACTCTCTCTGTGAGTCAGAGTCTGCCACTCACTGTCCCACCCACCTGTGTGTCCCACAGCCCAGGTCTCTCCTCCACAAGCGACCTGATACCCAACTTGTCTACAAGCCTTGGGGGAAGAGAGGGAGGCTTGTAGACTGGCTCCCGGGGGCCCTGCCCTGCGCAGGGTCAGCCAGACCAACAGGCCCTGGCTTCATCTCTCCCTCTGCCCCAGCCCCAGGCCGCCGCGGCCCCACAGCGCTGGTCTCCGAAGTCTTCGAGCAGCACCTGGGAGGACACATCTTACAGGTGAGTGAGGCCCCGTCCCCACCTGCTGCTCCTTGCTGCCACCTAGCGGCCACCTCTGGTGACCAGCAGCCTCTTCAGCATCCAGCCATTGTTGGGGGCGGTCCCTGGACTGGGAAGCCGAATGCTCAAATCCCCTCCTCCCTGCCCCTTTCGACGGCCACTGAAGTCCCGCCCCCACCAGAACAATCCGCCTGAGGCGGAGACCCAGGCTTCAGAACCTCTCTTACCACTTGGCCGCTGGACGGAGGGACCTCAGGTCCTCCCCTTCCCCCTCCCTGTCTCTCCCGGCTCTAGTCGCTGGATGGCTTTGTGTTCGCCTTGAACCAGGAAGGAAAATTCCTCTACATCTCAGAGACAGTCTCCATCTATCTGGGTCTCTCACAGGTAAGGGGCCCCCAGTGGACCTCCTGGACTGGCTCAGCCACGCTCTCCCTTGCCTGGCCCATGCATGCCCTTCCTGTCTCCTGGCCTTACCACCACAGCAAGAAAAATGGACGGGAGCTCTGTGGTCCCCCAAAGTGTGTTCCTGGCACCCAGTATGGTTCATCCTCGTAGGCAGAGGAGGGCTATTAAAGTAACAGGTGGGGCCGGGTGCGGTGGCTCACGCCTATACTCCCAGCACTTCGGGAGGGCAAGGTGGGTGGATCATGAGATCAGGAGTTTGAGACCAGCCTGGCCAACATAGTGAAACCCATCTCTACTAAAATTACAAAAATTAGCTGGGTATGGTGGTGTGTGCCTGTAATCCCAGCTACTCGAGAGGCTGAGGCAGGAGAATTGCTGGAACCTGGGAGGCGGAGGTTGCGGTGAGCCGATCATGCCACTGCACTCCAGCCTGGGCAACAGAACGAGACTCTAGCTCAAAAAAAAAAAAAAAAAAGGTCACAAGTGGATCTAAGGAAAGCAGATTTGCTGAAAGATCAGTTTGCCAATGACTGGCGGGCCAGGTGCACCATATTTACCAACACTTGTTTCTTAACAATCTTAAAGGTTTAGAGGCTGGGCATGCGGGCTCGTGCCTGTAATCCCAACGCTTTGGGAGGCCGAGGCAGGAGGATCACTTGAAGCCAGGAATTCAGAACCAGCCTGGGCAACATAGTGAGACACCCCTCTGCCCTCAACCCCGCCATCTCTACAAAAAACTGAAAAATGAGCCCGGCATGTTGGCACACTGTTGTCCCAGCTACTCAGGAGGCTGAGGTGGGAGGACCTTGAGCCCATGGGGTCCAGGCTGCAGTGAGCTGTGACTGAGCCACTGCACTCCAACCTGGACGACGAAGCAAGACTCTGCCTCAAAAACAAAAAATAAAAGTTTAGAGCAATTAGTATCGGTTTGCCGGCTTGCGCTTCTGTGGTTACCTCAGGCCTTTGTTTTCACCTCAGCTCCTGCAGGTGGAGGCTGATGAGTAACCAAAAGGAGGGCAGATGGCCAGGCTCCCGCCCGAATCCCAACACTTTGGGAGGCTGAGGTGGGCGGATCGCCTGAGGTCGGGAGTTCAAAACCAGCCTGACCAATATGGAGAAACCCCCCACCTCTACTA